TTATTTCTCCATTTCTGCTTGGTTGAAAATGACGCAAGCGCGCATTGTTTTCAAGTCGCCAGCGTGCGACTAAACACACATGTTTTCACACATTTGTGTTTTTAAAAAGGTGTCAATGCCGTTCCTAAACTAAGTTGTGTGCTAAACCTTCTTCTTTTTTATCATTTTAATGCTCTTAAAGCAGAAAACAAAATACTCCAGTTTCGAATTCAAAGCGAATAACCGCTGTTTTACTTGACAGCAGATTCTATTACGCAAAGAATTTACCAAAGACAAAAGAAAGCACGAGAAAATGTTGTTAATACAATAGAGCGGTAAGAATCTACATTTTCCCCGAGTTGAGGCTAACCCTGCTCATACCTTAGGTCTTATGGGAATACAGGGATAATCTTAACTCGGGGAAAATGCAAATTTTCAAGTCTATTGTAATAACAACATTTTCTCGTGCGCTCTTTTGTGTTTATAAAGTCTTTGCGCAATAGAATCTGTTGTCAAATAAAGCAGCGGTTTTTCGCTATGAATTCGAAACTGGAGTATTGACGTCATTTGCATAATTTGCGACGGAAAAGCGTCGCAAATCCAGTCGATTCCTCCAGAGACTTTCCGGCGTCWGCATACCSCTGACATTAGCCTTGAAGACTCTTGGCTCGAGATTGAGACTCTGGAGGAATGGACCTCCCCAGATACTTTCCACAAATCTGCGCGCCGCGCGCATCAAACCGAGGTCAATTAGAATAGACTTAGAATGTAAACAAACTCAATAAAATAGTTTGAATTAAATTCGCTGCCGGAAAAGTGCACGGAAGAAAATATTAACAGAGTCAGACTTTTGACAATTGCAAACGGCTCAAATTCAAGGTACTCAAAATAAAAATAAAGTTGTTTTTCCAATAAGTCATTTGCTCATACAAKCAAAAATATTTTCTTGACTTGATGTTTGATCTTGAATAGAAGTTCACAGGAAAAAATCGTCAAACTTATGAGCGAAAACATTGCATCTTTTCAACTTCAATTCAGTTCAGAACAACTCATAAAAATAGTAATTGAGCTCAGTTTCCTGTATTGCTTACCACTGTCTTCCTCAAAAACTACTACTGCATAATGATTGTTGCATCCGTAGCATTCTTGACAACGTTTTCCAACTTTTTGATGTCTCTGTTTCGACGGAGCAATACTCCAATTTCGAGTTCTGGTTTGCCAGACTCAAAACCGAGTAACATATTCTTTGATAGCCCGAGAAAACGTATTGAATTTGAAAAGAAAGACAATACAATTAATTTGAAATCTTACACTTTTATTCTCATAATTAGGAATATTTTGCGCACAAATGAGGCTAACACAGAGMATTGGAGAATTCGAAACTATTCGTGATATTTTTCCCGCTCGTAGTGCAGTTTTTCGTGAAATTATATGCGATTAACAAAGAAAATTCTTGCTTCTTGCAAAAAACAATCTTTGTTGCAGCAACATTCGCCTTTTYCATAGTAAATAAAAAAGTGAAAAGTAAACTCACATTTAACTGTGGAAAAAAAGATTTCAACGGATTTGCTCCTTCTTTCTTTTACCCTGACCTCGGTTTGATGCGCGCGGCGCGCATATTTGTGGGAAGTATCTGGGGAGGTTCATCGACTGGATTTGCGATGCTTTTCCGTCACAAATTATGCAAATGAGATCAGTTTTGTTTTCTGCTTTTAGAGCATTGAAATGACAAAAAAGAAGGCTCAGCAAACAACTTAGTTTAGAAACGATATTTACACCTTTTTAAAAATAGAAATGTGTGAAAACATGTGTGGTTATGCGAAAAAAGGACGATTTTCTTGACTAAACAGGTGAGCGCGTGCTGGCGACTTGAAAAACCGACTTTAGAACGATGCGCACTCGCGTCATTTTCAACCAATCAGAAATCGAGAAAAAATTGATTCCTTCAGAGTCTCTCACGCATTGACTTCCGCTGGATGGCAAAAGTGCAGGCTCTGGGTACGAGATTGGGCTATGTAAATTGGCATCAGTCAGTGCTGAAATCGATTTTTGAAGCTTTTCACCTTTAAAGCTGTTAAAAATTCCCCAGAAATTTGGGAATTAAAGGGTTAAGAGTGTTTCTGACTCCATGCTCTTTATAAAATTTTTGATATATAACTTGCACTCTAATTGCCTGACCACCATGTATATATAGTCGATTGACAAAAGGTCGTCGTCGACCGGATTTCACGAACCTTTTGTAAATCGACTATACCAGAGGACAGAGACACAGCTCACCGGAAAAATTTGTTTTTTCGCTCAAAAAACGCTCGTGTTTCTTAGCTTGCTTCTCTCATGTTTTTCAACTCCCACCATGTTTATATCAGACGAAAGAGACACGTGCGCCGTTTTCTTAAATACAGGTAGCCCAAATACACATTATATATTTTCATACACAGGYATTCCAAATATGTAAACACTACAATGTTGTGATATTGAATTAAGACGTGAGGATTCCTTCTATGGAATTTCAAAAACCCTGCATTCTGAACAATGACATAGTTTTTTTACAGATAAGCAAAGGTTCGTATCCTCCCCCCCTCCCCCTAGCGGCAAACCAAGGCATTTGACAAGAGTTTAGTTCTGTATAGTGGGGTATTTGATACTAATTAGCAACATTTGACAAATTTGACAAATCATTTTTAATAGACTAATTTCAACTGAAAGCATTGTCCATTGATGAACAGTTATTGGAAACTTCTCTTCCTGTTTTAAGAGTCAAGTACTGACTTGATCTCGAGGGGTTGCCTTTCCATAGTACAATGTGTACTGGTATGTATTTGACTGTCCAGTTTGCCTATATGGTGGGGAATTTCACCTTTTTTCCAAAATGTCAAGTGGCCAGGGGTTTGGCTGGGAGATGGGGGTTGGGCACCTTACAAATTTGGAACGATAATAAAACAACTAGATCACATATATAACTTGTCTATTGTGCATCTTGGTAAAATGAATGAATTGTCAACAGGTAAAGAAAGTCAAGCAATGGCACTGTAAAGTTTGTGGTGAAAGGCAGTCAACAAAGAAGATATATGCCCGCGGCAGTGGAGCAGATTGTCGTAAACATGTACAGAAACTTAATACTATGCAAGGAGAATATGAACGAGTTAAAGGTGAAAAAAGTGCTGAAATTGAAAATGAAGCTTTGGAAGAAAAGCAAAGTGAGACCACTTCTTTGAACAAATTTGTTAGAAGTAAATGGGAGAAATTTTTAGTGGAGTCCCAGAATATTGGTATGTAATGCTWCACATTTATTTCTTAATTTACTAGAAAATTCTGTATTAAAAATACATGGCTATATAACCAGATAACACTGATARACAGATAATAAAGTGTAGGAGTGTGACAAGATACCCTGTCTCTTTTGGGATGACAAACACACACACAGAATAAGCTTGCATGCAATGGTGTCCTAGGACAAGCCCATCGTTGGTTCACCTCTTATCTGAAAGGAAGGAAACAAGTTGTATCTATTGGAAACTGTACTTCGGAAATCGCATCCATGCAATTTGGAATTCCCCAAGGTTCTTACCTTGGCCCTCTGTTGTTTATTACTTTTGTGTATGACATCCCATCATTTAACAAGGAATATCTGACCTACATGTATGTAGGTGACACTTCTCTGTGTGTGTCTGGGGCATCATCCACTGACATTAATTCAAAGCTCCAAGCTGGCGTGGATAACCTTCGTATGTGGGCTTCTGATAACGGGATGGTACTTCATCCCCAAAAGACCAAGGTTATGCKTATTGGAACACATCAGAAACTAGCAAAATCAGATTCTCTACATATTTATATCAATGATGAATTAATTGAACAGTCCTCGTGTGAAARATTACAACTAAGCAATGGGCCTGGGACATTGACAAATGACCCACGAAAACCATTGGCTCTGCCATAGTAACAATGCAAAACAGAATTTGCATGTTAATACTTTATCAGCAAATAGTAACTAAGTCAAATKAAAATGATYCAGTCTCACTCTAATGCTGAAGGAAGCCCATGTAAGCGCTCACTGAGCATCTACAATGTAGTTATAATAATAATAATTGGCATTTGCATCATTAGAATATACATGTAGTTATACTAAACATTTTTAATGATGTTTGGTGAATGTCAAGTATTTGGCAGTCGAACTATGTTGCAAAACATTTTACCAAATATTTCTTAGTATTTTGCAAATAACATTGTGCTTTAAGGCAAGAAGTAAGACAATTTGTATGGGTTATCCACGATAATGTTAACAACGTTAAGCTATTTTTTCAAATCTGAAGAATTATTTCTTTGTGCACAAGATTACCTGGTATTTCATTGAAGTTTATATAATTACAAGACTAGATATTTCATGTGTTTGCACAAATTGGCACCGTTTTTTACCAGCATTCATGCATCTCCTTGAAAGRCCACAAAGAAAATTTTCAAAGCAACCCGAAATGTAGGCTTATTAACCCAACGAAGAACAACCTAGGCTTAGTGAGTAAGCAGATTCTTAACAAAATCAACAACAAAATAAGGGAAGCAACAAAGTGCAACCAATGGAGGAACACCAAGACAGTAATTGACTGGTTTATTAACATCAAGGACAAGAATGAACATGCCTTTCTCGTATTCGACATTGTGGACTTCTACCCATCCATCACCGAAAGRTCTCCTACAAAAAACACTACGCCGCAATCMCGGAAAATAAAACTGAAATCATAATGCATTCGAGGAAAACTCTACTCTATTCGTCTTGCATAACCTTTCATCAAAATTCCTAGGCGGAAGCATCGGCTTATACGGAGACGATGGTCTCGCCGTATTTAAAAACACCAGTGCGAGGGCATTTGACTGGATAAGAATAGATTCTGAAAACTATTCCAGGACATGGGTCTTTCTATCACGATCGCCACAAACATGGAAATCATAGACTATCTAGACGTCACTTTCAATCTATCAACTGGAAAATTCCACCATTACAGAAAACCTGGCAATGATACTGTKKACATCAACGCCGATTCGAATCATCCACCATCCATCTTAAGGCAAAGTCCACGATCAATCTCCAACAAAATATCCGCACTCTTGTCGGACGAAAATGAGTTTGAAAAAAAAAAACCGCAAGCACTTACAACATAGCTCTCAAGGCATGTGGATTCATGGAAYGTATAACCTACAACAATCCAAGCACGCAAAGAAAACTGAAAAGAAAAAGATTAAGAAACATTATATGGTTTAATCCACCTTACAGCCAAAACGTATCAACAAACATTTCTTCGCCTCGTAGATAAACATTTTCYAAAGACTCACAAGTTTAGCAAGTTATTCAACCGAAAMAACTCAAAAGTAAGCTACAGCTTCATACCGAATATGACCAGTATCATTAAAAAGCACAACAAAAAGATCCTCAATGCAARTGCAATCACAAAAGGTGAATGTAACTGCAGACAGAAAATCCTCTGTACTCTCGACGGTGAATATGTCAAACAAAAAGCATTGTTTACCAAGCTAGCCTCATACCAGCGTCAGGCGATACAAAAATCTACATTGGAATGACCGATATGGAATTCAAGACGAGATACAACGCGCATAAGTCATCTTTCAACAACCGCAAGTTGTCCAAGAAAACCATGCTACAGTAAGCAAGCAAGTATGGGACTTTTAAAAACAACAACATCACGCTAAATCATACAATGGAAGTCAAACAAATGTGCATTCTAATGGAAAGAATCCATCACTTCTTAACAAAAGAACTGAAATATTGCCCAAATGCAGGCACGAGAACAAATTTTACGCCTCAAAAAAAAAACTATAAATAGAGCATCGAACAAAGATCAGTAGCCTGATGAATTGCGTGAAACTCGAGTAGTTTTTAGTCCTTGTAAACATATAACTAAAAGGGGAAAAAGAACACTATAACAATAAATGGAAAATAATGCCAACCCTATAACAATATAACCAAAAAATGCCTAAGCGAGAAATTCATCATTATTATAAGTAATAGCATGGCTCTGAGGGAGATTAGGGATTAAATGTCCTCGARGCCGAGGGCAGATAAGTTGAAGTCCCGACGGCCGCTAGTAGTCGTCCCTTATGCTGTTGATGAGGGAGGGATGTTCGCTTGTAAACATCCCTCGGAAGACAGA